CTGGGGTGCCCTGTAGGTGAGGGGATATAATCCTATACAGACAGTGTTGTACCTCATGACTGATCTGGATATGTTCTTTTTACAGTGAATGCAACACCATTTCTCTTCAATATGTCATTCCCGGCATAGTAAACCATGTGGTTGTGAGATTCAAAATGGCCAATACCAGTTCATTTCAGCTCACTAATGCCAAAGATATCGATGTTTATGCATTCCATTTCATCTTTCACAACTTCCAATTTTCCCAGATTCATACTTAGTACATATCATGTTCTGATTTTCAGTGGATGTTTACAGCTGTTTCTCTTCATTCTGAGCTGAGCTCCTTCAGCAAATGAAGGTCCTGCAGGCTTTTCTCCCTCGAGCTTTGCTCCATTTGTGTTATCACGGTAAACTGTACTTTGAGGAGGCAGCTCTTTCCCAGTAGCATTTTGAGTGCTTTCCCACCTGAGGGGCTCATTTTCTGGCTCATATATCTGACAGTGTTTCTCTGCTATTCATAAAGTTTTCAGTGACTAAATATTTGGAAGTAGTTTATCACTCTTTCTTCCTAGTCTGTCTTTGTCTGGAAACTCATCTGAAACCTGTCCACCATCACCATGGGTGGTATTTAAAATACTGGTGGCATAGCTTTCAGAATCACAGCAACTCATAAGCCACCTCAGTACGACAAACTGACAGATGAGTGGTGGCCGTTTGGTTTTAAGTGGAAACTGTCATTTTAAATTTTGAGATTTGTGCACATGCATAGTAGAACCCTCCAGGGGTGGGGGTGTGGTGTCCATTTACTAACACATCCCCTCTAGTCACCAGAATGAAGGTGTGCAGACAGCAAGAGACCAATGAACAGATACCAAAAAAAAAATGTCCACACTTGTATATCTGCTGTTCTGTTGGTGTTCATGGCTGCTCTGATCCTTACCCCACCTGGTCTCTCCTAAGATGGTGGCTCTGGGAATAGCTGAGCATTTTGAATTAGAAAGGAATGGATTTCTTGATTCAACTACAAATTCCCCTACCTGTAAGCCTTCCAGTCTTCTAAATATTCCTTTATATGTGGTTCAGAGTTCTAGCACCATTCACTGAGCCTGCTTGGTCCAGTATTCTATGTTGTTGGTGACAGAGCTCCTTATTGCACACTTACCCTATCTGCCATCCTAGGTCACTCTCTCACTAAGGCATTAGTATCAGTAATTACTAAGCAGAAAATTCTGAAAAGTAATATTTGAAACAATGTCAGATATGATATGCAAATTAATATAAGATGCTTTAAATTAATTTTGAACTCTGTTAGTTTATTTATATTGTAATTATACTTGAATTTTGTTTTTAAATTGAGATATACAAACATCAGTTGACTGTGAATTTACCGTTCCCAGAAGTCAGAGAAGAGCTGTTACTGGCATTAGTTTTTGTCTTTCCTTGGGTCATTCTATTTGTTTATATTTGACTTAACTATATTGCACTAGGCAAATCTGTTGCACAAGACCCCTCTAGAGTGCTGAAGAGAAAAGATGTCAGTTTGAGAACTAAGGCATGCCTGACCCAAATCCTGGTGTTTCCCATAGTCTCATACACATGAGAAAGTTAGGTCAGTGAATAAGGAAGAAAACAGAAGAACTGATGGCTTTGTGTTAAGGTGTTGGAAAATGCCAGAAGAACAAAGTACAGCCAGAATGCTCCTTAGAAGCCAGATTGGCAAGACTTCGTCTCTCATACTTTGGGTGTATTATCGGAAGGGACCAGTCAGTCTCTGAAGAAAGAAGGACATCATTCTTGGTAAACTAGAGGTTAAGTGAAAAAGTGGAAAACCCCTAATGAGAAAAATTGGCACAGTGGCAGGAACAATGAGCTTAAGCTTAACACCAGTTGTGAGGATGGTTCAAGACCAGGAAGTGTTTTGCTATGTTGTACATAGGGTTACTAGGGGTTGATACTGACTCAACAGCACCTAACAACAACACTAGAAGGTACAATTTATATAGTTATGAATTCAGTTTGAATTCAAAGGATTCAAATGTATGTATCAGTGTTTCAACTGCACGAACATTTTTTAATTGGTGTTTTGCAAAAGAACATCATTTTGTGGAAAGTGAGATGAATATCATATGTAGTTAACTTAGTAAGCTAAAAAAAAAAAAAAAAAGCTATTGACATCATGCCAATTCTAACTCATAGCCATTTTATATGGGGTTTCTTGACGGTAAATCTTTACAGGTGCAGACAGGCTCATCTTTTCCTCACCCTGGAGAAGCTGGTGACCTTGAACTTATATCCTACAGTGACACCAGGACTCTAGATAGAAATGGTGATTGTGTAACACTGCAAATGTACTTAATATCACTGATTTGTTTATTTTAAAATGGTTAATTCTATGCTGTGTACATGTCACCTCAATATTAAAACCCAACTATATGATCAAAAACTTGTCTGTATCAATGATTTGCCTGTTTCATTTGTTTTCCAGGTGACAATGGCCAACATTGGAATAAATGGAAATCATTCTCTGGAGACCTGTGAAGTGATACTTTTTGCTCTCCGAATGGCAACCTGGAATCAAATCTTAGATCCTTGGGTATACATTCTTCTGCGGAAGGCTGTACTTAAGAACGTCTATAAGTTTGCCAGGCGCTGTTGTGGAGTTCAGATCATTAACTTACCTATTTGGGAGCTTAGCTCCATTAAAAATTCCTTAAAGGTTGCTGCTATTTCTGAGTCACCGCTTGCAGAGAAAGTAAATGCACAAGCACCAAGTCTAATAGGACAATGATTTAAGTCATGTCGATGACAAAATTAAGAGAAGTATTGGCAACATTTCAATTAATTAGATACATATACAATAAACTTCAAAAAGTTCATGGAAAAAAAATCCATCATCTTTTAGTTTAATTTTTCCATGAACTTCTTTTAGTCTTTCATTCATAGCCTAACTGGAAAATTTAGACCTCTGCATGTAGTTTGGGCCACATTTGCCAGACTTGACTGTTACGTTTTGTTAAATTAACTGGATAATTGCACATTTCTATTTGCTTTGTATTAACTTGCTGTAAAGATGGTATTATGCCATAAGAATTAAATTGGAAAACATTTTGAGTTTTACTGTTATTTATGAAGTTACCTGTACTTTTGGGATGAGTGAATCTGAGGCCTAAAGCATTTATTTAGTCTGTTTGCCAGAGTATATCTTAATGCTACCTATACAGTGTGAAGGTCAATTTGGGGTCACTGCTTTGCAGTTGTTCATTATAGATCAGACACAATTTTTTATCTAGTCTTAAATTTTTAACCTGGTCTTTTCTATCCCTAATGGTCACATTACATGGGATTCACTGGCTTAACCTTGCAAACCTACTTAGAAAGATCCATCCTCATTAAATTAGACAAATATAAGAGCCTGCATTTGTTATTATGTAGGTAAATTGTTATTTGGGAGTTCCTGGGTTTCGCAAATCGTGAAGCACTTGACTACTTATTTGAAATGTTGGTAGTTTAAACACACTCAATAGTGCCTCAAAACACAAGCCTGACAATTTGTTCCCCCAAATCATAGCTTTGAAAACTCTACTCTGAACACATGGATTTGTCATGACATGGTATAGACGAAGTAGCAACTAAGAGCAACAAACTTTTGTTTGAAAGTTTCAAATAATTCCTGTTTTCTCTGAACATCCTAATGCACAGATGTACATGAAGTACTTTTTAGAGAAATAAATGTTTTATCTCAGCACATATACAGATGACTTATAGTACTCCTAAAGCACTGTCATCTGCAATGGGTAATGTAAACAAACAGAACCTGAGCTTGAGTGATAGGTGCAAAGAAGAATGGCAAAAGGTGTCCTTTCTTTACCACTTCTGTGTCAGAGAACAAAAGAAACACAATCTCTATATAGTATCCAAAGACTGTCTGCTCCTGGTTTGTTTCTTTCTGCTTTAAACAGGCACGCGTATACAGAGGAACACCAGAAACTACTGCTGCTAGCAGACTCCTTAGATCTATAGGGTGGTATTTTCAAAGCTTATGTTGCCAGTGTCAAGGTGAAGACTGACAACTAGCCAGGCATTTGGGAAATATTATATTGTTTGGTTAACCAGATGACCAAGGGATAAAAAAAAAAAAATTCTGAATTTCTCTACTACTGCCAATCCCCCCCGCCCCCACCTGCTTGCATAGTTAAACACAGGGACTTTTTGTAATCATTCACAATACTCTAGGTCCATTAGCACATAAAATATGTAGTCTTGCTATATAGTAGGGAAATACATTTTTGTGTTAGTCCTTTGCATTCTTCAATTTTAGTCCATATTAAAACTAATCTTCCTGTGAGATGGCTTTCAAATTCTCCTTGAAATTTGTGCAATTCAATTAGACCTAACAGACTATGTTCAAAAATTTCTGCTCCTGACTGACAATTTGCATTGATAATAGTTACCTTTTGTGAATTTTGGTAAATTCTGAAGAATACAGTCAAAGAAATCGAGCAAATAATTGCATTGATGATTTAAAGACAATAACTTTACCAGTGAATTTAAAGAGGGAAACACAGGCCCGTGATATTCTTAGTTTCAGACCAATAAATGGTTAATCACACTTTTAGGCTATTCTTATACATCAAGTACGTAGTAGATGTTAGAAAAATACTTTGCCAAATTTCATTTCAGATGAGAGTTTCTTAGTGGAAATGAATATGTAATTGTATACTTTGGGGCATTTTTTTTTTAAGATGGCCAGTTTCAAATTGGTTATATATCTGTGTGTGTGAGTGTATATTTGTGTATACACATGCATACACACAGAGGACTTCTAAAAGATCGTGGAAAAATTCCATTATATTTTAATTCCATTTTTCCATGAACTTTTTAAAAGCCATTGCATTTTGTAATTGTGGTTAGATTTGCTACATATTCTCAGATGTTGCAAGAGCACTTAAATTCAAGAAGAGTATTTAAATGTTTAAGAAGAGATATTTATTTCACCCAACCACTTAAGAATAATAGTGTTCTGTGAAATGAGCTCAAGGAACCAAATCTCCATTATTTCTTTTTATAATTAGTAGAATGCAATAGAAAAAACTTCTATATATGTCCTATGTATGACTTGGGAAAGATATGGAGAAGAAACCCTTGTTGAGAGGCTCTAGGCTTCTTCTCCTAAAGCTTCTAATCTGTTGGCAGATTGTTCTATTGCTATCATGTCACCATGGCACATAGTGAGACTGTGGCATGATCATGTGTGTGAATGCATGAGTAGGAATGTTTTGGGAAGTAACAGGGGAGGCACTCTGCAAATTTTTGGAGGGATATCATTTTATCTGAGAAGAGCTTTGGTGGTGATGGTGCTGTGTTGTGGAGTTGGTTTTGACTCATAGCGACCCTGTATAGGGTTTCCAAGACTGTAAATCTTTATGAGAGCAGAAAGCCTCATCTTTCTCCTGTAGAACGGCTGGTAGTTTAGAACTACTGACCTCGAGGTTAGCAACACAGCTCATAACCATTTCACTACCAGAGCTCCTTGAGCAGAGCTTTAGGACAACCAAATTCCTCTTACAGTGATATTAAACCAGAAAAATAGAAATAAAAACAGAAACAAAAATGGTAAAAGAATACACATTTATATTACTTTAGGCTATTCTTCCAAGGAAACTAAAAAATTGTGCAAAATAATGTGTGTATCTTACATAAGAATTGTATTTCTATTGCTATTTGCTGTAATTGAGTTTGGCAAGTTACTATACAATGAAAAGTAGAATAGAAAAGCTACCAAAAACTTTAATGTAAGTGTTCAGAGTGGAAGAAGATTTGTTCAGACTTGTAGCTATAAATAGTACAAGTAGTTTTCCTGTAAGTTTACCAATGTGCTATGTGTTAACATCTATTATTAAATTCATAGTTAGACTATCAAAGTAACTGAATTTCCCTTTTCATAGGTGAAGTATTATCTAAGAATCTGCAGATAATATTTCATCGTAAATATTACAGGACAATAGCAAAAAAAAATTTTTTTTCTGAATGTGAGTTTTACAAAATGAGACAAAAAAAATACCTGATTTTTGATGATAATGCTTACAGGGACAGATAGTGCTAATTCATAATTGTTGTTGCATGCTTTTGTGAAATCATTGCTACTTCTATCTTTATCACCATCATTGCTCCACATTAATAAACTGTCCAGGGTCAGAATATAAAGAATGGTAATGCTGTATTTCCCTACTTTTTCGTCTTTTTCTGCATGTCAGAGTATTTTACCACCTACTAAATTATGCTGGACTTCAACTTGTTACTGACACATTTAATATAGAAGATGAAATATGCTTTTCTTTATTATGTGAATAATGTATTTTGTGCTCTTTATACTTGTTGGACAATATAAGAGACTAAATTGTGATATGTATATAATGTTGCTTGCATCAGTATGCAACTCATGTAATATTAATGCTTAGATAAGAATAAAGCTTCAAACAAATGGTTTTGTAATAAAGTTGTACTAGTGTTTAGCGTAGTGGTTACGAATCGGGCTGCAAACCTTAAGGTCAGCGGTTCGAAACTACCAGCTGCTCCGCGGGAGAAAGATGAGGCTTTCTA